TGTGTGTGTGCATTCAGTCACATGTCTCCACTCTCGTCACTGTCTCAGGCGTTTCCACAGAAACTGAAGCTCTTGTATATTTTTAGAAGCCTTTTATTAAATTTTCTGGGTTGATTTATTTACTTTTTTTCCTTCATGCTGGATCCAGAATCTGCTGCCGGTCAGCATGCCGCCGCTGTGCTCGCAGAACGACCAAACTTAGGCATCGCCTGCAAAACTCGCTCAGCTCAGTGTGTGAGAAATATGAGGGAAGGATGGAAATAGAAAGAGAGGTCAGGAGTGTTTTCTGTGACGCACAACTTAAAACAACATCCTAACATCCTTTTTCAGGAATAAAACCTTAATAATAAAAGTCTTTAAAATTTTACAATATGAAAAATAAGAAGGTGAATTTAACAACTGTTTACAGGGACAGCGTTGATCTTTAAACCCTTTTAGACAATTTTAGCTCCTGGTTTTTGGTTTTCTGGCACATTTACAGGAACATCACAGAAAATCCTTTAAAAAAAACACTTAAAGGCATTTTATAATTTTGTATAATTTTATGTGTGTGTTCCTGCACAGCTGTCTTTGTGGGGACTTGTGTTTGGTTCAGTCTCTATGAGGACATTTCTGGAAGGCAGGGATATTTTTTGGAAAGTCAGAATTATTTTTTAACTTTTGCTTTATGGAGAAAGACAGATGCATCATCAAAAGTGGGCCAATTTCTGAGAGGAACATGTTTGTTTTTGTTTTTTTGCATAAAATGGGGCCATTTTCTTCGAAATTCCCAGGCGGGTCCACAGCCTGGTCCCAGTGAGGGTTGCTTCGGGAAAGCCATTCAGCATAAAATCTTTGCCAAATCAAACATGTGCGTCATCAGTAAGAGCGACCACTGCTGCCCAGTTAGGACACTGGTTTGGAAAACGAGGGAAAACTCAGAGATGCTCGAGATCCTCACTTTGGGAGTGTGTTTGAAGGCTCCCACACTCGTTTCTGTCGCACGCTGTTTAGGTCCTGTTTAGAGATGGACCGATCCGATATTACGTATCGGTCCGATACTGACCTAAATTACTGGATCGGATATTGGCGAGAAATAAAAAAATGTAATCCGATCCATTAAATATCAAAAAAGCACCTCACAAAACTTGCTACACGGCGTAACTCGGCTCATAACCGTAGCACGTCGGAGCAGTGTGCGTCACGTGATAGAGCGGCTGTGTGTATTTGTAGCCTCGCATTTCATCTCCGAGGAAGTTATCCCAGAGAGAAGTAAAGCAAGTGTGTAAGTTCATCTCTGAATGTTTGTAAAGCATTCCCGCGTTAAGCTTAACAACAGATATATGGAGCGACGGCCTCTCTCTCTCTCTCTCCTGCTGCTACTTCAATCGTGAAACTGCTTAATGATCAGCTTTTCTGTCGCGAGTCCGTCTCTCTTGTTTGTTTTTGGCCCACTTTGCACCAGAAAGAGGAAACCAGCGGCTGAACAACAGCAGCACGTTTAACCTTGATAAGCTGTTGTTAGAATTTATTTAATATTATTTCTACACCAGGATCCTTTTCTACGTAGCTGACGGCTGGTAACTATGCAGGGGCGGATCTAGCAAAGTTTAGGCAGGGGGGCCGATAGGGCATTAACAGGGAAAAGGGGGCACAAAGACATACTTTTCTTTCTTACTCTCATTTAAAATGTCTAGCTTTTAATAAATAATTATCTGACTCTTACACCCAAAGTTTTAATCTGATGTAAAATGTATAAAAGTCCATTACTGTATATAGTAATATACTAGGGTATATTAGTAAGTCTAATATACCCTAGTAAGCTGTAGTACTTTTTCCTTTGGGAAAGTACCATCTGTGAATTCTGCAATTCTGTTGAAGAAAGATGTTGAATCTATTTAATTATTCTTGAAAAATAATTTATTTCTGTGCATTTTCCCCCCACACTACATCAAATTAAAGTTGATTACATCGATTAAGCATCATGAGGTGGAGGGTGGGTGGTTCCCTATTTTCTTTTGCTGGGAGTTTTAGAGCCCTATTAGTTAGGTTGCTTAATATTTCTGCTAAGTACTCTTTAAAACACCAGAATATGGAGGATGGAGTATGTTTAACTTTATTAGATTGATCAGTGTTGCTGAACTATGAAATATTTTGGGTGCAGTGTGTTTTTTTACATACATGTATAGCAGAATAGCTTTAGTGTTGTTGTTTATTTAAACTTGAGTTTGAACTTATACAAAATGCAGCAAGATATTAAAAAAACTGTTTTATTGATTTAAAAACACACTATCGGATTCATATCGGTATCGGCAGATATCCAAATTTATGATATCGGTATCGGACATAAAAAAGTGGTATCGTGCCATCTCTAGTCCTGTTAACAAAGCACCAAATCACAGCAGCAGTCGTCTCAAAGTGTTTTATATTTAAGGTAAAGGCCCTACAATATACAGAGGAAAGCCCCACGATCAGACGACTCCCTTTGAGCGAGCACTTGGTGACAGTGGGAAGGAAAACCTTCCGTTAAGGTCCCGGGAAGGTATTAAATTAATGAGAATCCCCACAAAGGCCCAAATACATTCCTGTGTGAGTGAAATCAGCAGATTTTATCTTAGAAAGAAGAACAAAACTCCAAATTTACTGAAAAAGAAAATAAAAATAATTCTGTTCTGAATCTGAAAGGTCAGGGCGAAATGTCACGGCCTGCCTCTCTGTACGGGGTCGTCACATTACCCATCTGCTGTGCGCTTTCAGACTCTGCAGGATGCTCCAGGCCACCTCCTCGGACCCGAGAGGTTCTCATCAACGGGCAGACGGTCAAGCTGAAATACTGCTTCACCTGCAAGATCTTCAGGCCACCCCGAGCGTCGCACTGCAGCCTGTGCGACAACTGTGTGGGTCAGTGCGTGTCTCCCTGTGTGTCACAGCCTTAGCTCAGTCCTAAAGCTGCTGGCAGTGCTGCTTGATTCCAGCTTTAAATTAAACATGAAATCAGACTTTCTGATGATTTTCCTCTTGCAGAGCGCTTCGACCATCACTGTCCGTGGGTGGGGAACTGCGTCGGGCGGAGGAATTATCGCTTTTTCTACCTGTTCATCCTCTCCCTGTCCCTCCTCACTGTCTTCATCTTCGCCTTCGTCATCACACACGTCATCCTCAGTGAGTAACGGCACCGCCCCCGCACACCTTTTCCTCTGTGGTCTCTACATCGAACATAGTTCTGTTAGTTAGGTTAATGTTCTGCAGAGATTCGTGCACGTTTGCGCTCAGACGACATAAAAACTTTATTTATAGAAGCTCCTTTGATACTTTTTGGCAGGAAGTAAAAACTGAGAAAATGTTTCAGAGAAAAAAAGAGAAGAAGCAGAAACGTGGACGAAATAAAGACTCTGATCAAACCAAAGCAAAGTTATTTTTAGAGACGATCCTGGTGACCAAGTGAAACCGAAGAAAACCATCAGACAGGAAAGTAATCATCATTCTCCACACTAAATAAAATAAAATATCTGGGCACGCGGTTTTGTTGTTGTGCTGACGATGACAGGATATGCAGAGCTATCAGGAAGTGTTCAGGAAGAGGTCAGTTGACCAGCAAGCGCTGTGTCTCTGCAGCGGTTTCTAATCTGTGTAATGTAACTCACCCATCAGTGACCTTCAGCCCCACCCACTGTCCTGTGATTGACAGGCTGATCAATGTGAGTCAGACAGACTGGGCCAGTTTTTTATGCTGAGAAAGCTGCAGATCAAAGTCCTGTTGGAAGAAACTCACCAGCTGATTTAAACGTTTCCTCACTTTGACCCAAAGGTCGTTCTTCTCTTTGCCGTCTGTTTCTGGCTTGTATAGACTCAAACAGTCTGAATAGGTTCAGTCGTCTCATCATAGATTCATTCTGGTCTCGTTGGTCCCTCTTGTCTCACTCCGGTTCCTCAGGTTAGTGCCAGTCTTTGTTTGGTCGTGACTCTGGCCTTGCAGGAGTTCTCGGACTTGTTTCAGTCTTGTGGGTCTCGTGCTGGTTTTGTGAGTCTTTAAATTAAGATTAGTCCAGATCTTAATTGTGATTTGCCTTGTTCGAATCTTGCCTGGTGGTCTTTTTGCTGTGGGTGTTTCTCAGGCTAAGCTTCCTCCCTGTTTGACGACAAAGATGTTTGATTGTGAAACCATGTTTGTGGAATTCTCTTCTTTCCTGTTTTTGTGGAAATCCACATAAACTGGCTGCTGCCTGGGAGGAACTGTAGCACAGATCATTGACTTTGTGTTTCTGGATCTAAAAGCGCCTGCTGATTTCTCTCTGTCTCTGACCTAATTTTGCACTTAGGCTGCGGATGTTGTTTTCCTGCCCTGCAGGTCCAAACCGTCAGGAACCCGAAGCCTCGAGCTGCCGCCGTCTGAAACTAATGACTGGCAGACTGGCTGAGATGAAGACGCAGCTTCCTCTGAGGGCTGCGCCGCTGGTTTTCTGTTTTTTGCTGTTGTGACTTTGATATAAATGCAGGGAGCTGTGACATCAGCCATCTGTTTTCAGCAGTTTACATCTTTAAGATGACGACCGAATAAGTAGTTGTTGCCTATCCTCGCTGACGCACCCAAACACACATGCACTATACACAGGAAAACAGAGGGTTGGTTGACACCAAGGCAGAGGAAGAGCTAACTGAGCCCAGAAATTTATTCATGTGGACGTAGAAAATAAAGACGTGTAGATGTTTCTACCTGGTCACATTGAAACAGAGCATTCAGTCAGGCTCTGTTTCAGGGCTCTTTAATGATTGGATGCTGTAATGTTCTTTATAATGAAAACGAGACTGTGGGCAGTGAGTACTGAACACTTCAGCCCAGATGATGGTTTTCTCTCTCTGTGTTCTGCAGGATCGAACCAGACGGGTTTCCTGAGCGCGCTCAAAGACAGCCCAGCCAGATATCCTTCCCCATGGACAGTTTCAGCTCCTTTTTATTCTGAAAACAACTTTCAATTATTCACATGCAAAATATTCCTCCTTCTTCTTTTACTCCATCTTGGTGCAGCCCTTCAGACCATCCTCTGTCTGAAACAAGCTGTTGTAGCTCCTCCCCCTGACAGCCCACTCTCTACTAGCCTCTGGAAGCCTGTTGAGGGGCAGCACTCTGTGCTTTTACATTATAAGTGTGTAAGGAACTGATGGAGGATACATACAGATATTTTCATAGAAAAATAAAAACAGGTTCCATGTGAAGACTGTGAACTTAAACATGCCTCGTATTACAGGACACACTCATACTCTTTAGTCATTTTACATTTTCCATAAATGATTGCAAGCATTTAGTTTGGTTCTGTAATATCAGCACAGTCATGGCCACGTTCACCTCCTCAAGCATCTACAGTCTGATTCATTTGGTGCGCAGCCATAAAGACACCAGCCTGTCCTCCATCACTGACGTGCATCACATTTAACATCAGGTTAGTTTGTGTTTCTTACAACAATTGTTCTTCCGGCTTCTCAGTTATAATTTTTCCAGTTTTGTTGGAGAAATAAAGAGTAAAGTCTGCCTGCAGCCGCCACAGAAAATCAAACCCGGGTGTTAATTACCCCTCATACGGCTTCCTTCCAAAATCAATCCGTCTGTTGCTGTCACCATCAGCTGTGACCACAGGTCAATATGTCCCACAATGCATTGCCAAGGTCAAATTTGCTGACCCTGTCACACCAGAAACAGTAAATCTTCTGTTTTTGCCATTTTTACTGCAAATAAAATCACTTCAGTTCGTTAATGCAGACGCACAGAAATCCTCCCGTAGCTCCACTTTATCCCCCATCCAAAGACCCGAGTCAGTCCTTGACCCTGCTCTGCACCGTCCTGGAGGTGGTGGTGTGTTTCTTCTCCGTTTGGTCCATTGTCGGCCTGTCGGGCTTCCACACCTACCTGATCAGCTCTAACCAGACCACCAACGAGGACGTGAGTATACCTGAAGTTCGAGGACCTAAGTGTGAAAAAGGCCTGCGATGTTTCTGATACTCTTGTCTGGTCCAGATTAAAGGGTCCTGGTCCACCAAACGAGGGAAGGATAACTACAACCCGTACAGCTACGGGAACATCCTGACCAACTGCTGTGCTGCCCTCTGTGGACCTCTACCTCCCAGGTCAGTAACCAAAAACAGGACTAAACTCTGTGCTTATAATCAGGACTAAAACCAGGAATACGGAGAGTTATGTGCAGGGCTAAAGGAGATTAAATGAAGAATTGAGAGCAGGAGTAACTCTGGGCTGCTCTGAGGTGAAACTGATCATAGTCTGAAATCCAGCATGAGCTCTGCACTGATCACTGAAGGTGTTACTAAAATCAGGACCGACTGATATTGTTTTCAGGAATACATGAAATGAATCCCGGTCTAAGAAGGATTAAATAGATCAGGATTATAAAAGACTTAAGTGCACTGACATCAGTCCTAAAACAGGGCTCAAATTTAGACTACAGTTAGGACTAAAAACAGGACTAACATTTGAACTAAAATCAGCACTGAAACCATGATTAAATTAAGCACCAAGCTTAGAACTAAAGTCAGGACTAAAGAGTTCTTCAGGACTTTACTTTGAGCTAAAATTGGGAATAAAAAATCTGGAGTACTTTGCATTGTATTTAGAAATGACCTGTAATCACTGTAAATGGTGCTTAAAGCTGAACTGGAAAGCTGAATTTCAGGATTGAAATGACTTCAGTAATAAACAAACAGCCATGTTGTTGGATTCGATGGCTGGAGCTTTGCAGCCTCAGTTGTTTGTTCCTGGAAGTCGGAGCTCCAAGAAACAAACAAGCTTTTCTTTCTTGGTTTATGCCTGAAAACTTTGCCTTGCTGCTCCTGCTGAAGCTGCTGATGTTTCGCTCTGCTGGTCTCTGAACATAAAGGTGCTTCAGGCGGTCTCTCTTCTTCCCCCCTCCTCTCAGCAGACGCCAAGTTTCTGTGTTTAACGAGGACAGTCTTCAGCTGAGACCTTGCACAGAGTAATTACAGCCCTCACGGCTTCCTGTCTCTCAGCTGACTGTCGGCTCGTCTTCTGCACAGAATTAATCAAAAGAACGATCAGAGCGGCCGAGCGATGGCTCTTCTTCATCGTTACCGCCTCCTCGCCGCTTCCGTGAGCTTCTATGTTTCCATCCCGCCTGCCGTATATCATCATTACAGCGGGAGACCTGGGCAGGGATTCTGTGACACGCTGCCGATACTTTTTATTGGTTTGTCAAAGCAGCTGATCGATGACATCTTGCTCAGCACAAAGTTAAGCTTTTATGGGCGGAGCTTTGGTTTCTAACTAAGCGCAGGAACAGACACAGACCGCATCCCTGTGCTTTTAATTATCAGATATATATACTGCATACTCGCCTTCTTTTATTCTCTGTGCTGTTGATCATTTCACTTCTGGTCAACGAGCTTCTATTGACTCACTGCAGATATTAAAGCTCCAAACACTGACTTCAGGGCTAACATCAGGTCTGTCTGCTTTGAATTTAAAGCTAAACAATCAAAAAACAGGATTAAGAGATTAAATAATCTGAACAGAATTAAACAGATTCCGGACTAAAGTTGGAACTAAAAGTAGAAATCATTTAACATTAGCTCAGGACTGCATTCATCACTGAAGTTAAAGCCAAACAGAATAAACTAATCAGGATTACAGTCAGGAATGCTAGTACCTGACTTCAGCACTTAGCAGGACTAAGATCTGATTTGTGGTCTAAATGAAATAAATGAACCGGTGAAATCAGGACTAAGTCAGGCCTGCAGAGCACTCTTCAGAGAATTTTTGCAGTAAGCCCCAAAAGACACGACGGTTAGCACTAAAATCACTCATCCTTTGAACAGGATTACATTAAGATCCTAATTCAGGACTAATCCATACAGCGAGCAGCAAACAGTTAGTCCAACACAGAATTAGATAAAAGAAAAAAGGACAAAAATATAAAAAATGAAGCCGAGCAGCAGAAAGTATCAGTGTGCAGCTTGAGTGATCAGATCCCTGCGATGTGCACGGACTGTAAATTTCATTCTTCAGGAGCTCTCAAAGAAAACGTCGATCGGCCGGCCAGAAGCTTTTCTTGTCTCTCAGTCGCTCTGTGATCCGGCTGCTTTTAAAAAAATGTTTGTTTTTGCAAATGAAATTTCTCTTTTTGTTGTCGTTAATCTTTGTGAATGTTTTTGAAATTATCTCCGGGAAATTCTTTTTGTAATATTTTCACATTTTTGGAGGTTTGATCGTTGATCCGGCTCGCTGAAGGACGCCTCTTATTTACAGCCTCTTATTTACTAAACATCGTTTATTGAATGAATCCGACTGAAATGTGTCTCGAGTGTTTTAAACAGTCAGTGAAGAATGTTGTGTAGAGAAGTGTTGGTGTTTGCAGCCCGGTGCCTCTGTGGAGATTCAGTTAAAGAGAAAACCGTGAAAAGAAAACAGTGATGAAGGGTTTTCCTCTGTGTCCGTGTTGTTTCGTCCTCTGAGGTCACAGACGGAGGAGACGAGGCTCTGATGATGCGTCCAGGCGGGTCAGCAGGAGCTCTCTGACAAGGCACCAGCTTTAATATTAATATTAATAATGGTGATGATGTGTAACAGCGAGCTGCCTCTGGGAGGATATGCAAGGAGGATTTTCAAAGTAAAAGGATGATGAGCATATGGAGCCTCATTATACAGTCTGCTTGTTTACGCACGGCTGGCTGCTCGCAGCGTTTGAACATGTCGACTCCACCTGCTTACAGGGCGACAGGTGGCGGCGTCCATCTGCACGCTCACAAACACACAAACACACGTTTCAGGGCAAACTCACTTTTCCTGCAGCCACAGGCTGATTTATTTACCTGAATCTCCCAGATCGAGGACGCCTGGATGATGTTGGACCGGGTGTTTGACCCAACGTCTCTCAACTTCATGTTCTAGCCTAGGCTCCCCCACCCCACCAGAGACAGGATATTACTTGATCCTGAAGCCAGTTTTGGCCCCCAGGAGGGCGGGGCTGTGCGTTTCTGGCCAGGCTGAACTGGTCCCCTGGTCTCTTTACTGGTTTTGATTTCCTCAGAATGTGATTGTTTGTGATTCTTCTTTATCAGTCTGATTGACAGGAGAGGTCTGATCCACTCCGGCATGCCGCAGACCGTCTCCCAGTCCAATGGCACCAGCAACAGCAGCTACGCCTCCACTCAGCTCCACAGCAACATGGTAAGTGAAGGACGCCGTCATACTGCCCGTTACTGATGCGTCACAGAGAACAATCATCATAAGGATCTGAAACGCACGTATTCAAAACTGTTTGAATGTAGATTTTTGTTTTTCTTTACGTTTCTTGGGTGAAAAGAAGCTAAAGCTGTTTGGCTGGTGTAACATAAAACAAACTGATAATAAAAGGTTAAAGGGGATAAAAATAAGTAAAAGAAAAACAGTAAAATGTGACTTTATTTTAATTATGTTTATTAATACAGCACATGTTAAACTTCCAAAATTGATCAGAATGAACTGATCATTCTGACGTAAACATCGAAAGAGTAAAAACCTCTGATTGTTTTTTTCAAGACGGGCCTGGCTTAAAGCTGCATTCTTTCTTTGGTCCAGCAGGGGACTCAGCCCTGACGATGCGCTGTTTCGGTCTTTTCACTCATCCTGGAAAATTGAGCGGCTTTTGTGGCCATTCAGGTGAATGTGTTGTAAATAAAGTTTTATGGTGTTGAATGTCTCTCAGTGTGATCAGGATCAGTGCATCCAGAGCACCAAGTTTGTGCTGCAGGCTGCCACCACGCCTCTGCTGCACAGCGACCCCGTCGTGCTGGCCCCGCTGCCAGGTAAGACCACCACTCTGGGGGGCCCCTGCGCCTACCTTGCCCCTGCCCAGCCGTCCCTGCCATCCTGCGGAGGCGATGTCCTGACGCTGAGGGACGCCGCTGTCGACTCCCGCTGTCACCACCACCTGCACCTACATCACCACCATCACCACCACCACTTTGTGAGTCCGGAGGAGACGCCATGCGCCACGCCACAGGGTGCCCTGCCCTGCCCCACACACCTGCACCTCCACCACCAACCCCACCCTGCCATCCCCTCCCCCGCTGCCCTGTACGACCCTGCCAGTCAGGACGCTCTACACGAGGACTCGGTCAGGGGGCTGGTGAAGCTCAGCTCCGTCTGAATGTGACGTCCGTTGGACAGATTTTTACTGTCTATGTTCAAAAAAACTAAACAAATAAAACAAACTGTTTCCAAATCGTGATGATAAAAACGAACACACCTCAGTAAAACATCTGATCACAAACTCAACTGATGGGCTGACGTCTCCGGTGAAGATTGTCCTCACAGCAAAGACTTGTCTCCAGACGCCAGAGAAATGCTGACACTTTCTCCCTTTTAGACTTTTTGTCTTTGAAGCTTCTCGACTTCACATTTTTTGTGACTTTGTTTGGCAGCTTTTAGAAAGTCCACCTGTTCTGCCCCGTTTGTCCTGTATTAAATATTACTTTAGTAAACTCAAGACACTTTTGCACAAAAGCACCTTTTCTGTTTGGACTTCTGTCTGAGGACCAAAGCTGGACTTGGTCCTCGTCCACTTCCCGTTCGTGTTTCATCCTTCGACCAACCTCCATTCTTTGAATTCCTGCTAAAAACGTTGAATCCAGAATAAGCTACTTCAATGCCAAACGTTCAGCTGCAGCAGCAGCAGGACCAAAACTACAAACTCTGACTTTTTATTTTATTACATATAATAAATAATATTTGATTGTTTTTTGGTTCTGATGGTAACTGGTTGGTGTTCTGAGACCAGCATTTGCCTCAGCCAGTCAATGTTTGTGATGCCATGTCAACAAATAAAAAACAAAAAGCCAATTCAAAGATCAGTTTGAGCTGCATGATGATATTCAAATGTCTTCACGTCATCATGTTTCTCTGTGTGAGTCACAGGAAAACTGAAGGTTTAGTGTTTGGTTTAAATGATGGACGAATCCATCATACATGTTTTTCCTGAGTACAAATTCATGCGTTAGGATGCCCAGATGCACCACAGCAACGTGGAGTCTTCATGTAGGCGTCTGTGTGCTGCATGGATGAGTTAACAAATTACATTAACCTCCAATTAAAAGTTATACTCAGATGTTTATCACATGACAGGTAAATGGTACAAATCAACGAGCTAAGAAGCCACAAAGACGATCGTCAGCTGTTTTTTATAACAGGGGTGTTGTCGTGAACGCTGACTGGCTGAGGCAGATGTTGTCTTACCATATAGATGTTTATTTCTGAGGATAAGAAATTTCTGGAAAACTTGTGCAGATCTGAGTGGAGGGAAGCAACAACACTGCCAGACGTTCAGCCGAGGATTGAAGGTGCTTTTTGGATATCCCTGCGTTTAAAGTTGCTTCGTTTTTAGGCGAAGAAATGGCCAGTATGACTTTATATGTTGTGTTGAAGAGATGTAAACTCAAGCTGAACGCTAGCTGGGCCAGGTGTTAACGTAATACCAGCTCCTACCACATGATGGTGCAGTCCCTGAGGGAAACCTTTAATTAACCTAGTAAGTCGTTAAGAACAATTTTATTTACAATGATGACCAAAGTAAAAGGTCAAGTCTGTGAGAAAATGGGGATACAGCTAAAAACACACCTGCTGGTAAAACGCTGCCCCCTGGTGGTGAATGTTTTTGAGGATAATGACAAAAAGCACCTTTAAATCATTGGGAAAACTTTGCTTGTGGTGTGGAGTGACAATGAACCAAACCTGTCTTTTATTCATACAACATAAACCACCCAATAAAACAAGTTTACACTCAGTTCATTTTCACACTTTTCCAAAGCTGTAGAACCAAAATAATCACCAAATGGTCCTATAATAAAATCATCAAATTAATTTAAAATCACATACACACAAAAAAAAGCCAGACTCTCAGTGTTGGACCTCCTCCTGACTTCCTCATACACGCTGACCATGATGTGGAGCCATCTCTCCATCAGACCTGTTCCTCTGATCTTCATACCTCAGCCTTTCCTCCTGTTCCCCTGCGTTAAGAACGGCTTCCTGACAGGCGTCCTTCCACTGAGATAATTTCTAATGAGGCTTCGGTGAGCAGTGGATAATCAGCTGAAGGTTCAGATCATTTCTCGAGTCCTGTTTCAGGTTTTTTTTTTTCCTGTTTCAGTATTTTTTAAGGTCATGACTTTCAGATACTGTTTATCAGTTATGCACAATCTTGCACTTAAGTCGTCATCATCCATCACTAATTAAAAAGCAACAAGAGAACAGATCTGATAAAGGACAAAAATATCAATCACAAAAGCGTGACAACTTCTCTGACTGATCTCAGTCTGCCAGGTGAGGGTGTTCTTTATTCTACAAAACAGCTGATTAAAGATATGTTTTTGGACAATGAGAAACCGTTTTTAAACTTTTCCTCTGTTCACCTCCATAGTCGATTTTAAATAAAACTAAAATGATGCAATGAAAATGAAGACCGCTTTAAATTAAGGGGTTTAACAAAAGTATTACATTAGCTATTTTGGAATTTTAGGCATTTTTATTCATGGTCCCCATTTTCAGAACTTTCTATAAAAGTAATTGAACAGTTGGTTGGTGAGGACACCTTCAGAGTCTTCATCAGCAGGAGGCGAAATGGACTCACTGATGATCGGCATGTTGGGTGGCCCTCACAGACTTTGTGATGTTCTCACTCCTCTCCTTTGAGAACGTTTTTTTTTTGTTTCATGTTCAGATCTTATTTCAGGACAAAATGTATATCACTGTTGTGTTAGAAGACAAATCCAGATAACTGTAGATTATTTATTGGCTGGAATCAAACAGTTTGAAGAATAGCTAATGTTTTATTGATTTCTTTAGAAAGAAAACTGTTTGAAAAACATCATCTCACTATTAAATTTATAAGATGACATCAATGTTTGTTAGTTGTCTTGTCAGGTTATTACATTCTTCCTAATATACAATGTTTCGCTAACATGGTTCCTGCTTTCCATCCTACTAAACATATGAAGGAAATACAGATGACTGACTGTATAGCAGCAGCCTTCAGATGAGTCACTCAATAATTGATTGACAGGAAATTAGTCCTAATTATTCAGATTGCTGGTTGTATTTTGTGCTTCACACGGGCTGTGTGCTGGCAGGGTTTAATGGATTTATTTGTTGTTGATGATACTAAACTGAATATTTTCATAATGATGACACTAAATTCAGCTGCTGGAACCTCTAACTGATATTTGATGGGAAAACATTCAGTATAGAAGAAAAATGGCAGACTAATCATTAATGAAAGTAATGTTTGGTAGCAGGTTTGACTGAGCTCACAGAGACTGGATGGAAGAAGCTTCTCATTAACAGTAAATCACTGTGTGTACAGTTTTCTTTCAACTAAGCTGGAATAATTGGTGTGAAGTTTTAACACTGCTGATCCTTTTGAATTGACTGAATATTATTGGACTGAAGTTTCCAGTGACAGTGATTCAATGTGTGTCCGTGAATGCATCGTGTGTGCTGCAGTTTCATGGCTCCATCTAGTGGACTGATAGTGGAAGAAGAGCCGCTGAAATAAATAAAATAATGATAGAAGCCAGGATGACAGGAAAAGAACAAAACACTGTCAGAGAAGACTGGAAACAAGCACTGAAGACTCGAAATTCATCCATGTTTAAAATTTTAATATATACAAAAATTGTTTTTACCCAGACGGAATCACAGCTAAAAGATGATCCTGGTATAAAATGTAGGTAAATATGGAGGACCACAAGAGCCACGCACATCGAAATAAAAAATCCTGTGCTTAATTAATGAATTGTAGAATAAAATCTGCATTTGTAAATTCATTTTTGAATTCCAATTTAATAAACTGATTTTTAAAATGCTTTT